CCTCGCTGGCCGGACATTCCAAACGTCATTCCAGTCGGCTACGTCCACACATCGTGCCATGCGGACTACTCGCACGGCGGACTCGTCTCCCGTGCCCTTCGGTCCGCATGTCAACGACATGCCCACACCGTCCCGCCACGTCGAGTTAGCGCAGTACGCGGATGACACGGCTCTCGTAGCCACATCCCGTAGTCCAACGCTTCTCGTCGGGTATCTGGAGACCTACGTCAGTAGACTGGAGCTCTGGCTCAGGGCCTTTAGTATTGCTATCAACGTCTCGAAGAGAACCGCGGTTCTCTTCGTTACGGCGAGGAGACGCATCCAAAAGCCCACAGCAGTGCAGTTTCTCGGACAGCCGATACAATGGCTCTAAACAGCGCGGTATCTAGGGGTCACCCTTGACGCCGGGCTTACCTGGTCGGCGCAAGTCAACCAGGTGGGAAAGAAGGCGGCGCAAAGATTGGGTGTGCTAGGTCCGCTCCTAAATAGGAGAAGTGGCCTCTCCATCAGGAACGGTGTGCTGCTCTATAAGCAGCTCATACGTCCCATGATGGATTACACTTGCCCGATCTGGAGGTCAGTTGCCACGTCAGGAAGCTGCAAGTGTTGCAATCCAAGTGTCTTCGCATTGTTACTAACGCGCCTTGGTACGTTAGTAACAGGCAAATACACGAGGATTTGGGGATCCCGCTCTTTGCCGACCTCATCAGAGCACTGACTGAGAGATTTGACTCGAAGTTAGCTTTTGTGGGGAACCCCTTAGTCCGGCAACTCGGGAGGCACTCGTGCCGAACGGGGGCTGTCAGAGGTCATCCAAGGGCAACCGAGGGGGACTGATGTTCAGTAGGCCAGCCGAGGCTGTCCCCAAAAGACGGCCAAGTCGGCGCAACGAGTGGTTAGTCCACTTTTCTACTCTGACTGAGGTTTTCCGTGCTTTTCCTCAGTTGTATGGCGAATGCCAGGGTATAACTTAATAGGGGCACGGCCCGTTACCCCCGATCACGGAGGCCCTCAGCTGAAATCCCCCCCCCAAGCCGCAGAGGCCTTCAGCCGAAACGGCCCCTCCCTCTCTGGGTTCAAACCTCAAAGAACAAACCAACCAAATTCTATGGACAAGTTGCCTGAAGGAGTAGCGTCCCATCAGCAGCAACATACCCTAGTTTGAATGGTCGAGGCTCCCTGTTAGCGTTAGGAAATTTCCCGTTTTAGTTATAAGGCTGTCTACAATTTCCAGCAATGCGTTTAGTACGCAGGAATGGTGTTATCTAGCAAGGGACGATGCCTTGCGCTTGTGGAGGACTCCGCCCTTAGTTAGCTTTTTGGTTGGTTGGTGACCAGTAGAAGCAGCCAGGGTAATGCAGAGAAGGGTCCGGCAGAGACCGGGCGATGCCAATACCGGCTGAAGCAGAGGCCGTGTAAAGCATAGACTGCGTCTTGTAGAGACGGAGTGAGGCAGAGTCGGATTATGTTAGAGACCGATTCCGGTAGGTATCGAGTAGGGAGACTTTTGAAGAAAAAAAATTAAATTTTTAAAATTTTTCGAAAAATCAAATGCAGAAAATTGTCTAAGACGCCCACAAAAACCAAAATTTTCGAAAATTTTGAAAAAATTTCAGAAGTAGAAATTATTCAAATAGCCCCGAAGACAATGTATCAATAATTACAATACTACTCAGATGTAAATCATAAACACCACAATGTGAAAGCATACTACATGAAGGTGAGTCTCCTTTGTACACAAAATTCTGAAGTGTCTCAGACATAAACTGTATATTTTAAGAAAATCCGTTTTTGTTCTGTGTGATGATTATAATTTACAGTGTGTCCACAAAGTCCATTCGGGGTTTTGAAAAATTGTGGCCTGCAAACAAATTGCGGTATGCGGCAGATTCCAGTGAAACTCTGGAAGTTTTTTACTGACCTCAGTAGACCTCGATGTGGGCTCCCTTGGTAGCACGGAGAACGTCCAGACGATATTCGAGCTCTTGCCATGTTCTGTGGAGCATGTCCGCTGGAATAGCCGAGATCGCATTCCTGATACGGGTCTTCAGGTCATCAGGTCCGTTAACTGGTGTTCGGAACACAATGCTCTTGACATAACCCCACAGGAAAATATCCAGTGGTGTTATGTCTGGTGAACGTGGAGGCCAAGGCATTGGACCGTCTCTGCGGATCCGTCTTCCTGGAAATGTCCTGTCTAGGTACGCACGTACCCGCAGACCCCAATGAGGTGGAGCACCATCTTGTTGCAGAATGACGTGTGGCTGTAAGTGCTCAATTTGTGGTACTGCGTACAGTTCCATCATGTCCAGGAAGGTGTTCATGTTGGTCGTCTGCTCTTGAAAAAAGAAGGGTCCAATAACCTGGTCATGCATTACACCACACCACACGTTCACTTTCAGACTGTCGCGTATGTGCTCCCTAACAACATTTGGGTTTTCAGTGCCCCATATGCGCACATTATGCCTGTGAACTTTACCCGAGACATGAAATGTTGCCTCGTCTGTGAACATGATTTTTTCCAGAAAGTCCACATCAAGATCAATACGGTCGAGCATTTCGTCTGCGAAAGGTTGACGTGCTATGCCATAACCAGGTTTCAACTGTTGCACTAACTGAACCTTGTATGCACATAACCTCAACCTCTTATGTAGCACTTAGTGTACCGTTGAACGTGGGAGTAACAATTCACACGAAGCTCGCCGTGTGGATTTTGTAGGGCTTCGTACAAACGATTCACGGATTCTTTCCACACATTCATCGCTTACGATCATGGATGCTACCAGATTCTAGTAAACGCCGTTGCCAGTCTCTTATTCCACTGTCACTCGGATGTTGCTTATTGAACTGTGTGCGGTAATTCTTTGAGTCTGGGTGACTGACTTCGTCTCAAAAAGCCATCCTACACAACGCACGTGGTCCTACACAGTCGCCATTTCACAAACAACTGACTGAGAAATGTAAAGATGGCCGCTTATGCCATCTGTTGGTGAAAAACACACCTTCCATAGTTTCACTGAAATCTGCCGCAAACCGCACGAGGCTAGCTCAATTTGTTTGCGCGCCAAAATTTTTCAAAACCCCGAAGGGACTTTGTGGACACTATAACTACAGGAATGAGGAAAGTGATAACTTTTGTACCATTTCAGACTCGAAAATTGTAGAGTATAGATATGTAACCTTTAAATTTGGGAAATCATTAATTTTGTGAGGATGCTGCTGATAAAATGTAGTTTAGATTCAGTTCGTCTTTAAATGACGGTTTCATTTGAATATGAAAATTCTGCTATAACACTGGCAAAACTTGCAAAACTGTTATCTTTATATGGTACACCTTGTTTATTTAGCATAAATTCATTCTGACAGACTATTTGCACCCTCTGTACAAATATGACTAATTACCTCAAATAATTTTATTAAAAGTTTTATTCTGTCAAGACTTTACTTATGTACATTTGTGAAAGAAACTGGATTGACTATTTGTTAAATAAGAATATGATGAAGAATAACACACACACATAATACGTGTATGAAACTGAGGACAATCGTCATCCACAACAGCAGCCATCAATCTCGCTGGCAATTCTTCGAGATCCAACATCTTGAGGCTCATGGTGCTTTTTATTACATTGTCAACTCCTAAATGAAGAGATGAATCACAAATTAAAACAATTAATACAATACAATTAACCCTTTGCATACCAGTCGGCCGAAGCAGTAGCTGTTAAGCCACGAATTCGGCCGATCCATTGCTACCTACTATATCTGATGTTTCAATTACATACAAGGCTCCCAGATGACAACACAAGGCTGCATCAGATAGTTTATACCTTAGTTCATGTTTTGCTCTACAGATCGATCCTCTAGACCAACAAAAAGTATTTTTTTTGAACAAATGAAATTCGTTGAGCTCGGAAGTGGACCTCATGGCGTGATTACGATTGCTTGTGGATTTTGCGGTATTTTTGCTAAGATAAGTGTTTAGCTTTGTAATTGTGTTTTTTGTTGATGTTTATATAGTGCCTATGATATCATTTCGTTATTTTCCTTAGTTTATTGTATATAGGTTTAGTTTTTTTAGATTTCTCAGTTCGGCAATGGCTGGTGCAAGTTCAAGAATTGATGGAGCCGATATTTTGGATTATTTGGATACTATAGATAGTGATAGTAACATTATTCTGGAAAGTGTGTCTGATTCTACTGAAAGTGATGATGACTGAGCTGCAGAAAAAAAAGGCACACCTGCTGACACTATGTCCAGCATTGAATTTCCGTGTGCATTGTTTTACATAAAGTATTGTAGTTCAGGAACAGATAACAGTACAGACACCAAACTCATATCAAATTATGCAGAAATAAATGTTCTTTCTTGCAGGATGGGTGATAAAGGAAGACAAAACACAATTTATGATATTACCTCCTGAAAATGAAATTCTTTTTGTAAATATTATTTTTCAATATTTCAAAAATTTTTGTAAGCTAACTATAACATTAGGATACATGAGATATTTATTTTCCTAATCTACAGTATTTAGTGTATAAGTGTGATTTTTTTCATATGCATGTGTGTAAAATTCTTATCTTGGTGAATTTTTACATTTTCAATTGTAGTGCATTCTCAATATGAGGATTTATACAATTCAGAAAAGTTCATTGTTAGAATACTTTGTATTCTTAAAAAAACATCATTTGAAAATGGTATCCATAACATCCAAGAATGTCTGGAATACATACCTTCAATTCTAACTGCAACATGATGGCCAATAAAAATTAACATGCAAAGTACTTGTACTGTTTATCATGAAGAGACAAAAATTATCAGGATTATCATGTTCATAAAAACTTTTATACTCTCTAGAGACTACCTTTCAGGAGCTATTCTTTGCACATGAAGTCCTGCTCACTAATGCTGCATGACCAGAAATGTCTCACCCCTATTTCTCTACACACACATATATGTGTGGTCATGCTTGCCAGACATGTAATGTACACAGAAGTCAAATCACATCCTATGTTATGGGATCGTTCTAAACACAATCACTGCACGCAAGCAATAACACACATAACAGCCGATGGTATTTTGCCTTGTCCTTCAAAATGGCAAGAAATGTTAAAGTCAATCTATAGAGTCTTTCAATTTTCCTTTCATAAGCTGCTGACTTCATAAGGACAGGTTCCAGCAGGTTCCACTAGTCTATGCCTGGCATGGAAAACCCATAGCTCATGGGCTAAATCTTGTCTGCCATTACTTTTTATCCAGCCTGCATAAAATTATACAAATTTGTAACACACTATTTAGTTCACAACTGTGATCTCTCTGATGCATAACAGATCATTACTCATACTTCAAAAGCTACGGGCTGGACGAGCGGGGTTCGATCCTCGAAGGGGGCAGAGGATTTTTCCTCTAGCCTCTGCGCCCAGACTGGATCTGGGGCCCACCCAGCCTCCTCTACAATGGGTACCGGGGTCCTTTCCCGGGGGTAAAGCCGGTCGGGGCGTGATGCTGACCACTCACCCCCATCTAGTGCCAAGGTCAAGAATGAGTAGGAGCTATACCTCCACTCCCCCCCAAGCGCCTACATGGCGTATAGTGGGACAAACTTTACTTTACTCATACTTCAATAATTATTGTTATGGTCCACGGGTGGATCCACTGAGGACAGAGTGCAGCGAATTCTTAGCAACATGGCCGTGGCCATAAGAATGCAGTGCTCCTTTGCCAGCATGTTCCACCGAACTCTAGAAATGTAGATGGCAGCGATACCTCTGTGTGGGAGTAGATACCAACTTTGCAAAAATACAAGTTACGACACATGCAACGAGAAGAGGTTGCAAATGTTGTGACGTTTAAAGTGGCTGCAGTGTCACTGGTCCCTAAACATTTGAGTTTTGTGGTTCTTGACTATTTCTGTTGACTGGTGATCTCCTTTGTGCCCAGTGATAAGGAAACTTTTCACCCAGAAAATAAGCAATTAAATTATTTATATAAGTCATGCCAGAAGATGGCATATTAAGATGAAATATGTATATGTGAAACATGCTTTATGAAATAAATCATTGTGTAATAAGATGTATATTTATAATGTACATTCACACATGTGCTACCAAAATCAAATCCCTGAGTATGAAATGCATTCACTTTTACACAAAACTTCAAATACATATTAATTTCTGGTGTTTTCTGCTGCTAGTTGATCCAACATAAGTCACACCATTAAAAGACACAATGGAATGGCTGGATTGAATTTCCTCTTTCAATGATTCCTGATAACTTACTGGGAAATTCATATTGTCCTCATTTGACCTTCTGTCATAATGTTCATTACAGATCTTAAAATAAATTTGTGTTATATACAAAACAGGTTTTAAGGTTGTAGTCAATTTCATGTTCTTAAGAAATCTTTCTATTCTTTATTAAGAACCAAACAGATTTGCACTACTCAGTCTGCCAAGGATTTTCAGCAATGCAAAGTTCTGAATATCATTTTGCGAAACCTGACATTTCATTTATCATCATTGTAGTGCATTCTGTCGCTTGATAGAGAAAAAGCGTGTTACAGTTTGTACGTTTTCTTCATACTCTAGTGTGAGCAAATAAAATCTTATGGGTCTGTCACATTTTTCCTACAAACTAGGCAACCAGCAGGGCTTCCCCCAGGGGTGAGACAAAACCAGGGGAAGAACTTCACAGGTCAACCTCCACCCCACAAACAAGAGGCTTCCACCCCAGGTTACGTCAGAGCACAGCTCCTACCCCTCCAGGTGCTTTTCTCCTTCAGCCTGAATTACTTTCAGACTTTGACACAGGATATGGTCTTCATGGTTTGCAACACTCCAGACCTTGCTGGGTTGGACACCCCTGCACTTCTACTATCTGAGGTTGCATTGTACAGGCCTCAGAAATACCAGGATTTCTTCCAAGGGACTTGGCAACGCATGGGGCCAGACCACATCTGGAACTATCCTCCTGCAGAAACCCCCAGGAAATACCACCCACATCTGCTATCTGCCAGGCTTTTAACACCAAGGCCTTTTACCAACATACTTGCTCCTTGGGGCTTGGCCCCATGTGCATGATACTCCACGGACCCTACCCCAAGTTTCCTCTCCTGTGCCTAGCCCATTTTTGGCTTTCAAAATCCACTGCTTTGCTATTGCAGGGCTTTCCCTATGACAAGTTAGATTACCACTCTGCCTGCCCACCATAGGCTCAGCCACACAAAGGACTAGGCCACCTCACAGTTCTCCACCAACTCCTTACGAAAATTAAAGGGATTCCCCCAACCTCTTTGGCATTGCCTGTACTGGGTTGAAAACGCCTAGGATTATATCAGACATCTGAGGTTAGATCACCGAGGCTTTGGGAGGACCAGGACTGCTCCCAAGGGGCTGGACCAAATCTGGGAATAACCACAGGCTCTGCCACCCATGCCCGATCTTGGTTTGGCTTTTTAACATCTGAGGCTCTAACACCAAGGCATTTCCCATCACATTTGCTCCCTGCACTTGCTGCTAGGAGCTCTACCACCTAGGCTTCTTTCCCTGTACCCCATACATGGAAATAAAGTTGAAAGCATTTTAAAAATGAAGTGATGTTATCATATTGTAAATAATTTCGCAGAGAATTATTTCTGTAACAAATGACAAACTAGACAGCATGAGTATTGTGCTAACAGGAGAATTCCCATGTCATGTTTCCCGATCTGAAGTTTCCCTTCATGTAGTATTAAATTTCTATGGCCCCAGCCCCTTTATTTTAACATAAACTTCTGTCCATTCCACTGATTCATTTATTCCTCACAGAAACAATAAACTGTTATGAATGATATGAAACTTTCATGGTGACTAAATTAAAAAATATCTTCTTGGGCAATCAGCTGCTTCGAAATATTACGCAAAGAAATCAACGTTTCAGGAACCATCTGTTCCCCTCACCACGGTTTTGATGTGACCAGATATCACAATCGTCTCCTATATATAATTTTCCGGGACCGGTGCCCGTGGATAGTCCGTAGCCAATCGTAGCTGGTGGAGACAGTAAAGCGTTTGTGTTGTGTGGCCCTGCTTTCCAATTGGTGTTTTCACTGGATGGCTTGAGCATGTGAGAATCTTGCTTCATATATGTCACATATTCTCTTTTTACGAGACATACATGCCTTAGCCAACCAGACAAGTCTGCTGTGGTGGAACACAGTTTTGAAACAGGACACAAGATCGACTTCAACAACATCATAATACTAGAAAAAGTTACAGAATACATGGACTGCCTTATAAAAGAAACCACACACATCCACCTATATCCCAATAACTTTAATAGGGATGGAGGTTTCACCTTAGGTTGGGCATGAAATCTTGTGACAAACATGCTACAGTGTACCAATCATCCTAGGATAAAGCCAGTTTCTGCACAAAGGATTAAACAGAATGAAAACCTGCTACAATCCATGTTACCATTGCAGAAGAATCGATGCTCTGCTTTTACCCAATACAAATGATTACAAAAATTGTTAAAATAACTCACCATAATAGCATTGACAATGTCATTCTGGTTGTTTTTAAGAGCCTTTATGGCCTTTCCACGGCTAACGTTTGCCTGTGACATTACGAGATCCACATCTTTCTCCTCAACACCAGTTTCATCAACATCCTCCTCCTCTGATTCTTCCTGGATTGGTGCAACAACCTAATGACAAAAATTAAATGGTGAATAAAACACTTTCTTGCCCTATGGAAATCTTAAGCTACCATTTCACAGAGATCTACTAATATCGAGGCCATGTTGTCAATAAGTGATATGACTAACTCTGTAGAGCAAGTCTTTATTGTGAAGTGACAGTCACATAGCTGGTAACTTTCAAGGTATAAACTCCTGCAGTTATTAAACTGGCATTACTGTCTTCTGCGAATCAAATGGAAACTGTCAGTATGATAAGTACAGTGTTTTGGTATTAAAGAATACAAGTTCAATTAAAACTATTGTGGAATAAATGTTAATATTTGCCGTTGGTTCTAGACATAATTTTCAAATTTTCAAACATTGTAAACTCTTTTAACAAGGAACTTGTATTGCATGTAAACAATTTTCACACAAGGGATGATTGAAACTACATAAACAAAGACAGAAATCGGCTGTTTGGAAATCACATCATCATAGAATTTTCACAAGTAAAGTGAGTTGTTGCCATTGAACTGATGGAGGGTTAACGTAAGAAAATTTTTAGATTAGGTATAGCAACTCATTAGAATGGGCAAAAAAATAATCTACACTGTCTCCACTAAAGCAAGAGAGAGAGAAAGAGAGGAAGACAACGTGAAAGTCAGTATGTGTGCGCATGTGAGCAGGCAAATGAGTGTGTAACAGCAAGTGAATGAGTCAGTGCGTGTGCGTGTGTGTGAGAGTGTCTATGAGAGCAGAATGAAGAGAAAGTGAGTATGCATATGTACAGAACATAAACATAAGCAATAGTCAGTATTTTTGAGTCTTTGACTTCCTGTCTCTTGTTTTAATGGTCACCCACACGCACACTGTGCACAAAATTTGCATAGTGAACCATAATATCATTAGGTGACTGGGCAAGAATGTGATGCATTCAGAAAGCAATACTCATTCTATTAAATGTGGTTTGTCACATAAATCAACACCATTCTGATAATGGTAGAAGCTGGTGCACATTTTATCTCATTCATTGTTTTTCTCTCTCTATTTTCAATCATCACCCACAGATATACTGCAATTACGATACTCAAAATTGCATGTTTGCAACACTGGCAAGCAACGTATGCCACTCATTAAATCTGACTAGTACTTCAGGGAAAGTAATTTAAAAATGCTGATGTCACACCCAAATGAGATTTCGTTCATTTTTTCTTCTTCTCGACAGTCGGAAGTAGCTTCTATATGCACGTGGCCTATATTCACATAATACAGCGCCCTTTAAGCCTATCTTACCGCTGTGCTGCCTCCTGCCTCAGCTGCTTGTGAAACTTCTGGAGCCTTAAATTTCTCTGCAGCTGCCACCTGCGCTTGTTGATTCAAGTCTTCAATCTGGAAGGATATGTAGCATCTTATTTGCAATAGACAGCAAGAAATACAATCCTCTGGACTTGACAATTAAAAGTTTTAAAATCCGACAGATTCAAACACTGTAAGCCCAAACAGTTTTGTAATCAAAAACTTGATTTTACTGCACCTAAGTGCCTATTTCAGTAAAGAAATAATTTTCTTTCCATTGAGAGTTTTATTGCATGCTATTTGTCATAAAGCCTTCAGGGTCAGCTTTCAATGATCCTACTGAACATCTAAACCAATAAATATTTCATAACATATTCCTTTGGTTTTAGTAATTAGTTTTTCAATAAGAAGCACATAAAACCATTGGGCATTCCCTTGTTCTTATGGTTGGAAAGTCTGTGAAATGAACCATTGGATTTCCACTAGTATGTCATCAACATTCACTGGCATATTAACCAGAGAAACATCATGAACAAAATGATCCGTATCTACTTCAGACCTGACAAAACTTATATCTGAATCACCAGTCTTCCACAAGTTTCACATCTTTGTCTGGTTTTAAACTTTTCCTACTTGTAAAAGCCACGGTATCAACATAAGAAGTGAATGGGGGCCCAGGCAGTGGTATGGGTTGACACTGAGTGTGAATGCATTCTTTGATTAATTAATATTATAATTTCTCGGAACAAATAGTGACCGAAATCTAAAAGTGTGTGATGATGGCGAGTCATTTGTATAAAAATTTTCTTGGATATTATCCATCGTCTAGTAAAATAAAATATAAAACGACATTTCGGAGATGGGGATTAGCTCTATCTATTGGGCCCAACTGAGTAGGTACCTGAAGACAGAGATAGAGTCCCATCTCCGAAACGTGGTTTTACATTTTATTTTACTAGATAGATAATATCCAAGAAAATTTTTATTCAAATAGTGACTGAGACAAGGCCCAGACAAAAACAAAAGCCACTGACTGATTTATCGATTCCTGAAACCTCTGTATGATCCAAGTTAAAAAATTATTTACTATATATAACCACGTATTCATCGTACTGAAACTTTTGACAGAGATTAAAAACTTTGTTACAAGAACTACTGGGGAGATATATGACATTATTTATAAATAATGATCTAATAACAAACAGAAATCTTACGATTTTATCTTTCAGCACACAAGAACACAATAAATTTACTAAAATGTTGGCAGCAAAACTGATGGTGAAAGTTATATAAATGTACCGAGTATGGTGGACACCAACATGTGATGTGGAAGATCCATTGTGTTCACTGTGGCAGATGGGCTTGAAGGGCCAACAAATTATTTGAAAGAAACAGCAGTATTCTTTTAATTCTGAAATACTACCTGCATTACCAGAACAAAGTTTGCTCAGGATGGGTTAATACATTCCACGTAACACTTAGAAAAAAGTTGTTGATCTGAACAAGTCTTTTTTCCACAAGTGTATATGGTAATTTTAATGGGGATTAACAATATCTTCATTATTCTGAAATTTCATCATCTTGGTGTTCATTACATTGAAATTATATCATATGGTCACAAGACACTGTAGCAAACAGCCTAGTAAGAAATACAGGTAATGGAAGTTTTGCTAAAAATAATGGCCTTGTTACCTACCCTTACCAATAAGAAGTCAATAAACAAATACCACTCAGTACTACAATATTCTCTTGGGCAATCAGTCATGTCACTGCTGAGTTATAAACCAGAGTTTTAGAGACTGACTCTGTCTCCAGCATCAGAGTTGTCCTTGACTGAAACTAAAACAAGGAGATGCTTTGTCTCCCTTGCTCTTTAACTTTGTGCTAGAATATGCTATCAGGAAAGTCCAAGATAGACAGGAGGGTTTGCAATTGAATGGGACACATCAGCTATTGGCATATGCTGCTGATGTTAATTTATTGGGGGACAATATAAATACAATAAAGAGGAACGCAGAAGTTTTACTAGAGGCTAGTAGACAAGTGGGGCTGGAAGTAAATTCAGAAAAAACTAAGTACATGTTAGTATCTCGTCATCAGAAGACAGGCGGGCAAAATTATCTTAGGGTAGCTAATATGTCCTTTGAAAGGGTTACAAAGTTCAAATATCTGGGAACAACAATAACAAATCAGAATGACACTCTTGAGGAAGTTAGGAGGAGATTGAATTCTAGAAATGCTTGCTACTTCTCAGTTCAAAATATTTTGTCTTTCCGTTTGATTTCTAAGAACCTGAAGATTGGGGTATACAAAACAATAAATAATCTTGCCTGTTGTTTTGTATGGATGCGAGGACTTTATGAAAGTTTCAAATCTTACAAACGTAACAAGTTTATTTGGAACAATAAAACCTTGAAATGTGCTACAGTCAGGGCTGTGGAGTTGGAGTAGGTAAAAATGTACCGACTCTGACCTCGATATAAAATCTTAAGAACACTTTCGCTACTGTGTGAGCCACCGGTAGCCTCACGCTTAGGGAGATTCAACGACGCGTTGAGCCACATGGTGTGGGAATAATGCTTTGTAACTTTGGCTCCGGCACCTTAAACATACAAGCTGTCTACAAATCGAATGATTTCTGTAATAACCATTATACGTATATTAAATACATGTTATAAGTCTAAAAAGTAGCCTGATGATTAACGTGGTGGTGATGAAATCTCTTGTGGTACATTTACCATTTTAGTAAGTTTACCATTAATAATACATATTGAGCTTATATTAAGGAGTAGGAGTCAGAGTCGGAGGTTTTAATACCAACTCCACAGCCCTGGCTACAGTTAACAAAAGCTAGTCAAATGGCCATGATCAGGATTTCAATACAAAAAAAAAATGTGGTGAAAAGGAATATTAACTTAGACAAAAATAAACATATTGAATCTTCTTAAAAAACAAGGGGGAAGTGATGTGTTGGTGTTTTGGCATACAAAACAACACATACTTACATACTTTCAATATCATTCAAACGTTTGTCCAGCTTTCTGTTGGAAATTCATATTGATTGAAGTCTCTGATCATCAAGATTCATATGGAGATACAATAAAGAACACATAATAAAAGAAAAGGACATGTCAGCTGACTACAAACTAACCTTGGCTTCTCCAAACACTATATATGTGTCTGATGCTGGGTTCTTGTAAACATCAGGTTTGTTTATAACAAACAAAATGTTTTTGGACTTGCGAATTGTGACCCTACTCACACCTTGCACCTACAATGAAAAGAAACATATCTTCTTATGACTATAAAGTAACTCAGTTATTACTTGAAACATTCATCCCTACTCCTCTATAAAGTTAAGGGCCAGAGCAGAATATAACAAGATAAAAGAAGTGGGAAACTTAACATGTTTACTGCCAGAACTATGCTGCTGTCTTACCTGTTAAATCAGCCATTTTTAACAGCATACAAACAGTTTGCAGTACTATATGATAAATACAAGAATGGCAAAGAATCTATGCATGTTCACGGAAATGCAAAAGGTTGCGTGCATGCATCTCCATCTTGTTCCAATTTGTGACTAATGAAAAGTGATAAAAAAACTCCTTTAACTCAAAATTCTAAGAATTAAAATGATTGTTATTAATCTCGTTAAAATAGGATGACATATTATGCATGGTTATGCAGCAGAAGGCAGGCACTACACAGAAAATTCAAATACATTAGTACTGAACGAATGTAAAATAAAGTACTAGTAATTCAATTCTAAAGGGTTATGACAACGGTTCCACGAAGTCTCACAGCAGACCACAGGATTCAAAGGAAAACGATTTCTTCTGAATTGTTGGAGCGTTTTGATGCTGAGGGAGAGGTCTTTCTGTCCCGGATCATTACAGGTGACGAAACCTGGATACACCACTTTGAGCCAGAGACAAAAAGGCAGTCAATGGAGTGGCATCATCCTCAATCACCGAGAAAGAAGAAATTCAAGACAACTCCCTCCGCCGGAAAAGTCATGATGACTGTCTTTTGGGACAGTGATGGGGTCATTCTTGTGGATGTGATGCCAAGAGGTGCGACCATCAATTCAGACGCGTACATCAGGACCCTGAAAACCCTCAAGAAGCGTTTTCGACGAGTTCGGCCTCACAAGCATCCAGCAGAAATTTTGCTCCTGCACGACAATGCACGCCCTCACACAAGTCTGAGAACCCGGGAAGAAATCACCAAATTGGGTTGGACGGTGCTACCCCATCCACCCTACAGTCCAGATCTGGCACCCTCCGACTTCCATCTCTTTGGGCCCCTTAAAGATGCTATCCGCGGAACAAGATTTGAAGATGACGAGAGCGTGATTCAAGCAGTGAGGACATGGCTACGGGGACAGGACAAGAGCTGGTACCGGCAAGGCATGCATGCACTTGTTCCACGCTGGCGTAAAACCGTACAAGTTGATGGGGACTATGTGGAAAAATAGTATGTGTAAAGGAAACATTGATTTATATTGTCACTAAATTTGAGCCATCTTGAATAAATATGTTCTGAGGAAAAAAATGTGGGGCATTACTTAATGAGCGACCCTCGTACAAGTGGAAAGAGACGCTGGCCAGTGGTAAAAAATATCTCAATACATTCTGAATGGAAGTGACACAAAATTACAAATTCGGCAAAACCTACAATCGGTATCTTTGGCATAATTATGCCAAAGAAAATAGCTTTGTATTCCATGCCTTTCTACGAGGGTCGCTCATTAAGTAATGCCCCACATTTTTTTTCTCAGCCAATAATGAAGATAGAAAAGTGTACTTTTACATGCTTGAGATTTGATGTTTCCCGCGTTCGTGTACGGAGTTTCAAATGATTCCAACCGATAGCGGAGCTGTAGTGAACTGTTAAAATGGCGTCTGTGAACGACTCTCGTTACAAGCAACGAGCTGTAATTGAATTCCTTGTTGCTGAAAAAGAAACGGTGGTGAACATTCATAAACGAAAACTTAATTAAGATAATACCTTGCTCAACTATGTTACAGTGAGTGGTTTCAGATTATGCAATTACAGTGGTTCAACTGCAATGTTATATAAAAACAACTGAGATGGTGCATGATCAAGAATGTTAAGAATTTAAAAGAGGTGATTATGATCTATTAGAAGGCACACTAACAATCTTTTAACTGGAAAGTTCACAAACCACGAAGAAGTGCATGACAACCAGTAAACAGGCTGAGATTTGAACCAGGTGACCATCAAATACAAATCTTGTTGCACAAACCTGCTTGCTTCATGTGGAGGCGAGTGGGACAGGTAATATGCACAGGCAAATGCAAACTCTTACAGGATTTTGGTTGGACCATTTGGAGATAATGTGTCATCTGCTAAAGATAGATATGTCCAATGGCAAGCTTTACTGTGAATATGGGTACTGAGCCTTCAGGTCCCACCCCCAAAACTATAGTTTCTTAACTGGATGAACGACTATCAACAGATGAAGAACACTAAGTTAGTAGTTGAACTACTAATTAAGCAGAATGAGGCTAAAATGCCACTACCATCCATCATTAGTAGGTCTGCAGAATGTACCCTTCTACTTTGGTACACCCTAAACAAAGTTACACTACAGTGACCATGTACTTGAGTGTCTTTAGCATGAACACAGGTACATCACCTACTAATAATTTTCTAAAAAAAATCGTTCCATTTATCATAACTAGATGCAACATAAATATACTGTAAAGCAAAATAAAATAAATTAATACAACAAAACTCAACAAGTCCCTGAATTCAGATTTCTCAACAATATAAGAACTAAATACAGGTAGCCCTCGATTTGCACCGGTTCAGTATAACTCCGCTTTTGAAACGATCAAGTCAAAAAGCAAAAAAAATATATTTTACTATTATTTATAACGTTTTACAATGTTCTCGTACTAATTCTTATACAAAATCGCAATTCTTACATCGCTGATTTTGAAGAAGAATTATAGATAGTCATCTCTGCAATTACTTATGTTTCGTTAATGCAAATTTGCTCTTATGCAATTTCATTCCTGGCGCTTTAAACTTTCAAAGGACTAATTTCATCTCTGCGGAGGTACCAGCATTATTTTTACCACGTGATTTTCTATTGGTCGGCGTCTTACATGAATGCAACTATCGCATAACAGCAGAGATGACTGTAAACATCAATCACATGAAAGAATCACAGTCAATCGCGGGGACCAACGAATTGCCAATTGTAAAAGTGTATAAAATATATTTTCTAAATTCCCTTTATTTTATTTATGTCATTTTGGAGCATTAAATGTAATGCCATTATATTACTCATCAATGTTTGGGTGCTGGGAACGCATGTCATAGATCCCCATTGATTTACATTATAAAAGAGTTTCAATTTATGCCGATTCCGTTTATGCTGGTTTGTCAAGAAACGCATCCCCAGCGTAAATCGAGGGCTACCTGTACAGTGGAACCTCAATATATTGCATGCAGTTATATCATGGATCTGGATATACCGAGGGTTTGATCATGTCCTCCACTATGATTACATATGTTTTACATTGTTCACTTTTAATGCGGGTACTGATGCTGTCCCCCAACAGCCGCACTATCTTTAGGTTCCACTGAACAAGTGAAAATATCTGAAATGAACCTACTAATACAAGTACATAATCTGATAGAAAACAGTGTTGAACTGTGTGAAAACATCATGAAATGCATAAAAGGCATTACGTAACAGCCACTGTAACTTTTGCCATTCAACTGGAATACCTAACAAACCGTACAACTTTTCCATATATTTGCAAATTTATTTAAATTACATGCTATTGTTTCAATTATATTTAAATAAGGTGACTTACTGGTTTAAGTCCTAACTTTGACATAATCTTGCGGGCTTTCTTCTCACCACTACTCTGCTTAGCTTTGCTGACCATATCCATGGGCAATCCGGCTGCAGTAGCTCCTGGGAACACACCAGAAGTCTGGCCAGTTCCAGGCTCCTCAAGCTCCGGTATTGTGTCATCTGAATCAGATTCGGTGCCCGATCCTGAACCATCTCCTCTATTCTCAGTCATTGATGCTGTGGCTCTGTCTAATTCAGTCAATTCAGGCATTGTCACAATCTGCTAAGATCAGATACAAACATTGTAGTTAAAAATACATACACACACATCTGAAACACCAAATTAACTACTTATAAACGTAAACCTATAATAATAATGATTCTAGGAATTTTTACATCAACATCAAACCAATTTATAAACATTATGCCCACAAATAAATGCAGTAAGCAACAGAAAATTTGGGTAAATACAAACTGCATGATTTCAAGCATCTGTGATGACTAAATAAAATAAAATTAATTATACTATGGAAATAACTAATTTAGAACTTGCGTTCCTTCCATCGGCCCTCCCAACTAAAATTATATTCACATTTCACATCTTCCTATGTGTGCTACATGCACCACTCATCTCACACTCCTTTATTTTATCAACTAATATTATGTGGTGAAGAGTACAAATTACGGACCTCGTCATTAAGAAATAATCTTCACCCTTCTGTCACTTCATCTCATTCTCAAACACCCTCAAACTGTGTTCTTCGTTAACATGGAAGGCAAAGTCCCACATCCATACAAACCAACAGGTAAAATTATTTTCTTTTACATAGCAAGCATGAAGACAAAAAATTATACACAAACTCTATGGAAGCATTTTCCAGTTCAGTCTTCTTCGTTACTGTAAGTAACGCACAGATACAGTTGGCATCATAACTCAAGCCAACTACATTATAATCACTGAGCTTCAACTGTAGAACTCATTCAATATGGCATGGACTCAATTGGAGATCAAACACAACAATTTGACAAAGCAACTTCGCTGTTAATTAAACTTGTATTAACTTTGTTGTGGGTTTCAGTTATTACATGCCTTGTTTGAGATGGATATCAGTATGGTTGATTTATGCAACAGACTCAAAGATACTTTAATGACCACCCAGAGTACTTGTTTCTTTACATTTTAAAGCGCAGAGGCAAGAGAACTCTGTCAACTGAAACCCTCTGATTCTGTTCCAGTTTTGCATACACTCCACTGTTTGAAGATTTCTGTCTTCTGGGTTGTTGCACTGTGTAGTGAATATTCATCACCCTGATGGCGGAGGCAGTATGACCTCTGAAACATTGGTAAACATCGACCAGACTACACAGCTCAACAACCCAGAAGACTGAAATCTTCATACTGACCGCTGTGAAAACCTCAAAACTTACACCACTGTTTCTTTTAATACAGAATTTTAACTTTCCACTTTTTCATGTAATGAAAGGATAAACAGTTCCAATGACACCAACTGTTCAGTTAGTAGTGTGTGGGGGCAGCTGTGGTTCAATTCCTAATGAGGCACTTCTAGCCTCATTAATACAGCACAAATAATCTAGTTATAAATGATAATACTGATGATAACTTTTGCTTGTTGACATGATTTTACTGGACTGCATATTCTCTTTCAAATATCACAATCAGTGCATTTCAGTATACATTTAAAAATACTCCTGGTATGAGTTGCAAATCAAAATTTTGAAACATATTGTTTGGTAATATACACGCGCACAGTTCAAATGAGAATTTAAGCATGTACAACAAGCAAATGATAGCAATTAGAGAGTATGGACCCATTATCTGGGTAGCACATTACTTCCTTATTCTGAGACCAGTCTGGTTGATATATAAGAGCTGAACCGTCTGCTTTATGACTGAATACTGAAAGCACCTATCTCTATAGTCAGTGGAAAATACATGGCATGGCCCTGTATAATAATCATAGTATGCTTAATAGTACACATGTATCACCATAGATGCTGGTGGCTAACATTCAACAGGGGTGTTATTTTACCAGGGATGTTCTTTGAAATTTCATGGGGAATTTCTGTTCTGAAACTTATGCGGTCGTAACGTAAGGGTGTTGGTAGATGTGTGCTGTATCAACCTTTGAAAGAACCAACAAATAACAATAAAATATATAATCAAAGCAACTAAATTTCCAAACGTATGTTAAAAATATTTGGCAAGTCTCAATATTTCAACTGTAATGCTATACGTTCCCACTATTTTTACCACACTGCAACATTTTAAAATTCTCGAAGCACTAAGTTTGGTTATGTCCGGAAATGTTAGCCTCTCCCAGGAATGTCGATTACCAGAAATAATTTATACTGAACGAACAGAACAATGCTATCACGATTGAACGACTGCAATTAATGAAGTTACTCCTTAGAACATAACCTTCCACCTAACAGCCATATGACACGGATGTTAATGCAACTTTGCTTACCTTACACCTTTCATAGACTTAAGTACTACAAGTGGAAGGTGGCTTGTATGCCATAGTAGAAACTCATGGTGTAACAGACATGCGGTAACTAATATCATGTATGCCCCAACTTCTACCATCTCATAAATACACAGCAGTGAAAACAAATAAAAACCTTGATATACTAAAATATTTCGTACACATGACATCAACATAATTAAAAGACAGGCCAAATACCTTCGGCATTTTTAATTTCGACAGATTTGCAAACAATCACACTGATAAATATATACGAAAACACTATGAAGGATAATCAATAAAAGTCTACATAACTTTATATGGTGTTATACATACTGATCAAGCAGATGCAATGCGATAAATTTCTGAAATGCTATTGTTCCTAACCTTTGTTCCACGAGAGCCAGTATTATAACACACGTTAATACCAACAGTTGGTATTATTTGTAATACCAACATTGTGTAAACCACGGATATAAACAACATTACAGGAGAGTAATTTCCCTTCCGTGACCACAGAAAAACGAAAACACAATCGCACAGAATACCTTCATATTGATAACTTGATGTAAGATTTGAGGTTCTAATTGCGGTGAGTAATAAGATGGCTGTCTTCTGCGTTTTAGCGCAGTTATAGTGAGGTACAGTCTGGTAGAAAATTAAAAGCCGTTTCTAGAATGTCACTGAACTGAAGATGGATGCAGCATTACACGATGCTACAATCCAAAAGGCATCTATCATTCCGGTACCACCTACATTGTGGATGACGTCACATTCTACAGTGCTGTCACCTAACCACAATAGTAGTAAAACTACTCGTAACCATCTGTCGGGAACAATTGATATTAAAACCAACGGCAAGTGCTCAGTCGCTAACTATTTCAATGTAGATTGAAAAACACCCACTGCTTCCTTGACACTTCGAGAGCGCTGATGAAGAATTTCCATGATCGGTTCAGGCGGTAATCCTCCTTGTTGAAGTCATTTGTCTTTAGCTTGATCTCAATGGCCTTCCTGATCATCAGGTCCTTGTATTTGGATTTGGTGGATAAGGATTGTGGTGTTCTGGAGTTGAATCGGTGACCCAGGTTGATACTATGATCGGCCACGGTGGATTTGTGTAAATACTCGAGACGGATGTAGTTCTGGTGGTCCTTGATTCTGGTATCGATGGATCGGCCGGTCTGTTCGATGTAGACTTTACCGCATTCGCAGTGCGCACTATACACCCCAGGATTCTTGAGTCCCCAGATAATCTCACAGGCCGAAGGAAACTGAAGATTTTCGGAGCAAGGCCTAAAATGTTTTTGTCTAAGTGCTGGCTCAAGGTGTCATATACAGGAGGTTGCCGTGGTCGGAAGACCGCTCTCCTTCTCAAGCAGCCATCGCTTCCCGAGGTCATCGAACATCTGAGGCCACGGAGTTCGAGGCCTCCTAGACTGCATTGGCTCCCGAAGATCCACAAGGAAATAGCACCATCGGGGCCCCTACCTATCGCCCGGCCCTCTATTTGGCCAGGAAGCTCGGTGATTAATCTCTACGTATTCACACCAATTTATTATTAAAACACTACATTTCGGTTGCTCGAAGCGTCTATTACATATTTTAAGAATCTTTTTGAAGTAACAGAAATATATGTAATCTTTTCCGGGAGGCCGCTTATCATATTCCCATACTTGTCTCCCGCTTAATTCGGCACATGAAGTCCTCTTGCGAATCCAACAATATATAACCCCGCCATCACTATTGCAAGGAACCCTCACCAAACGCCAACACATTATAACAGCTGTATATATTATGTCTAAAGTTAATATTATTCTGTAACAACATATATCATAATTATTGTATTTGTTTATGTAAACCATTTTTATCGTATGACCTTTCATGACTACAGATACAAATTTAAACATTTTATACATTCAACGAAATTTTATAATTTGTTTTTATTGTAATACATATATATGTAATCTTGCATGGTTACTACATATTAACTTCTTAAGTCTATACTTACCTGAGAATGCCTAGTATGGCCGAAACATTATACATTTAAAGTTTTAATAGTTAAATGTTGTGGTTAAACATACTTGCAAGTTGTGTGATTAAAAGTAAGGAGAAGTTTTATTGTTTATATAATATGCAACGGGGTGCTTTCGTATAATTCGTGGGCTAAGATTCTCTGTTCTTTCACAATAATAACAATAATAATAACAATACTTTAAAAACAAACTCGTTATGCACACCCCCTGCGGCTAATAGGACATTAACAGAATGTTATATCCTTCGTCCTTTGTCATAAGCTCACATAAAATAATTATTTTCTGAAAGGTGAGCTTTTAACCATATTTATTACACAGTGCAGATAATATGGCCAACCAAACTCGTCCTTGGGAAAAAATTTAATTCAAATAATTGAGATACATGAAAATTCATAAGGTTATTAAGGAATATTTTTACTTTTTAATCTGAAAGCATCAAAAAGGATATTTATATTTTTAACTTAAAGTGAAGTGACAAATCCTTGTTATAAAAAGATAAACCTGCATCCGGTTTGTAAACATTTTAAATCCTTTCAGGCCTGTCCATAATATTTAATCGCATGAAGAATTCTCTGACTTTATTAAAATAATCCTTAAAAATGAGTAGGTTAATTTTTGGGAGGGGGGAATTGGCCCATTTAACCTGCACTTGTTATGTTTGCATTATCCCTACCAGAAGAATATCTAACAAAGAATAATGAAAAATCCAGTTGTACTGAATAAAAGTACAGAACTTTCCGTTTTCATTCAGCATGTATCAATTAATATTTTTTATGTTTACGAATTTTAATAGCGCGTTAATTGTATTATAAAAATTAGAAGCAAGTTGTTTCTTTCCTTCTTCCGATATTTAATGGCGTCTGAAAACATGTAACGCCGCGCAGTTGGCGACTGAGTCACGAAACAAAACTTGGCCGATGTTTGTGACCTCACGTTCCTTTTTTTTGTGACATCCTGTTAAGGTGTGAGTATGGCAGTAACTAGGCCATATTTTCTGCATTGGACATGTTTCCCTCGAGTGTCTTTTATAAGTTCATTTTAATATAAGCCCCAAGAACGGGT